CACATTACACCGACGCGTTTGTCTCGTTAGAGTTCACGATAAGTGCACCAGTTAAAAATGAGCTGTCAAAATATGCCTGACGTCGCTCGTGAGTCTAAACATTTTTTTTAGTTCCGCAACACACTTTCGGAAGCGTTCTGGCGGCCATGTTCACCTTCACGTGCCGCTTCATTAAGAAATAATTTACAGCAGCACGTGGTCAATCCACTGCTGGATGAAGGCCTCCCCAACAAAATATGACAAAAATGGAAGATAATGGCGACCATTCCTTTGTGTTTGACATTAGCATCATTCATAATCAATTAATGTTCACCCCTTTGTCAATACACTTGGTTGGATGAAGGCTTTCGCCAGCACCTTTTTGGTTATGCTGTTTGACCATACTTCCTTACCTGTTGGTGAAGGAAGGGAAGGAGGGGGGTAGGAGGTTGAGACTTGGCACTGATGTTAGCCGTGGCTGAAAAGAAACCTCAGCTCACCGGGTTTGAAGCGCAGTGCACCAATCACTGCGTCACAGCTTCACCCCCCACAAACAGCATACCGTTCCAGATAGCCTTGTTGCCATACGAGCAAAGCCCATCACCTTGGTATTTTGCCCCCATTTTTTGCTGATGGAGACGTGATCTGTTTTTTTTGCCGAAACAAAATGCAAGGTCAAAGTGCAGCGCTGCAGTTAGTGGATTCTCATCGTGGTGCAACTTTGGATTCTCAAGTTTTAAGGGAGATGATAAACGATTTCCGGTTCACCAATAGTAGTGTGGTGATACGGACAACACTGCCCGATGATTTACCTATTGGCTCGTACGATCGGTGTAACTGGCATTGGTCGTTTTACACCCCAGTGCTTAAAGATGAGCTGCAAATTACCCAATAGGGATTGCTTGTAGCAACATGTGACCTACCACAAAAAAAAAACTTGGGTAAACAATCGTAATGTAAATAATAAAGAACAAAAGTTCAGTTCTGTGTACTGTTCTATCAAAAACAAGGTCAGGGTGATTTCCTCTTCAAATGAGCATTGAAGCATTGGTGCTTATCTCCTGTTTACAGCCCTGCAAAGCAAGTGGTGGAAATTCCACATACCTATGGTGGGAGTGAGTCTATCCATAGGACAACCACTGTTGACTATCCCACAAAGTAGTTCTTATTAAACTATTTTAATTCTACCAGGTAATGCCCACTGAGCTATATATAGCCCATTTTCAGAAGTGCACCTGCCCACATATAGCTCAACGAAGTGGCTTATCGTGTGGAAATTGACAGCAGCCATATAATATAAAGGCACGTTTCTAAATGTGGAGGGAAAAACCGGAGGACCCATGTATAAAAATCCACGCTACCACAGAGAGACAGACACGCAAACTCCACATGTACAGCAGGCGTCAAGGTCGGGATCGAATCCACGACCTGCTGCATACCAGACGAGTTAACATCGTGCCACCGTGGCACCCAGAGGGATGCTGGGCTGAGTCAACTCCCAACCAGGATTTGACCCCGTGACCTCCAATTATGAGCTGATCGCTTTGTACAACCCGTTTGTCAATCCGCTGTTGGCTGAATGCCCCTCCGCGCCGCGCAGGCATTTAGGGTTACTTGACCATACTTCAGGCTGGCGGTGAAGTAGTCGCAAACTTGCAACTCGCATTTTGTTAAAGGGCATTTCTTGTGCTGAAGTTCACGGCGACGTCCGGCACCAACGCTCGTCCTTGCAAGTCTCCTTTTTGTTTTCGGAGTTATAAACGCGATGACCGATTTGGTGAAGTCACGAGCAGGATGACGTGACTATGGTGGACTTTGCAGAGTCTTCAGCTGGGCAAGTGTACCCAGAATTCAGAATATTTATTTATACTGGAGGAATCCGATGAGCTATAAATCTATTTTTCACAGATGTCCAGTAGGGGCACGGGGTCAGAACGTTGCAATAACAAACAATACAAAAACACGATAGGAGTGCAACGTATAGGAAAGGTAAACATATCACTTGAACAAAATATAAAAAAATATTTAAAAACATTTCACTGAGCTATTAACTTACTCTTTGGTTATTTCGGTAAAGTCACGTAGGTATAACCAAAGAGTATGGATTCCTGCAGTCACGAAAGCTTCAAATCAGCTATCAACTTATTTTTCAGAAGCAACCTGGCCACAAATGTTAGCTCAACAAAGTGGCTTATGTGGAAATTTCTAGCGGCAACAATCTAAATAGTAACCCAGTTCGAGCGCCAGCGGAACTACGCTCCCTCACCCTCTGCACCAAATTTAGTTCTTGACGGACCAGCAGCTCCGAGAGTAGACCCTGGGGAATGAATGGTGGGGTGGGAGGGAACTGAGATGATGGGGAGGGGGGCGAGGAGGGCCTTTTGGGGAAGGGAGGTGTGGAGGCGGGGGCTTGTTGGCATGGAGACTTCGGTTTAAATGTTTTTCCGTCTTTTTCCACCCCCTCCCTTTCCAACCCCGAGTAAATCCTGCCCCGGTTCACTTTCAAAACATTCCGCTGTCCTACCGTAATTTCCCTGTGTGTGTGCACCTCTGGCCCGACCCTGGCGTTTGTGAATGTGCTCACGTGCTGGTATGTGAGAGTGCACGTGTGTGTGTGCACGTGTGTCTGGTGTGGGGAGCGGTGGTGTAGCGGTTAGCGCGCTACCCTACGAACCCGGAGACCCGAATTCCATTCCCGCTCACGGCCAACACCCAATGACGATTATCCGAACCGGTTCATGGCATCCCACCGGTCGACTCAGCCTCAAATGAGTACCTGGTGCGGTGTGTAAACATCTCCACTGGGAGACAAAGGCGGTCGGGCGTGGTGCTGGCCACCCACGTCCTCGTGTGCCGTGCCGGCCTTCATAGGTGCTCGCTAACAGCACTTGCCCCAACAGTCTATTAAGGCTATACGGGGGATCTTTGTCTTTGTACATGACTAGTGTGTGCATGGGTGGAGCCGTGGCCGCATGGTTTTCACGGACTGTTGAGGAAAGTGCTGCTTGCGAGCACTTTTTAAGGCTGGCATGCTGACATGTGGATGTGTGGTGTGGCCCACTGCAAAATATTATCTGTGTGCCACTGAGGAGATGTTATGTGTGGGCCACTGAGGAGATGTTATGTGTGGGCCACTAAGGAGATGTTATGTGTGGGCCACTAAGGAGATGTTATGTGTGGGCCACTGAGGAGATGTTATGTGTGGGCCACTGAGGAGATGTTATGCCTCTTGCGTGAGTGGGGAGCGGTTGCACAGCGGTTTGTGCTCTGTTGCACGAACCCAGTGACCTGTGTTCGACCCGCGTTAGATTTCCAGCCACAGCCTTTGCTTGGTCGGCTCAGCCTGAATTAAGTACCTGGTGCAATGGTCCAATCAGCAGCACTGGGGTGACATCGGTAAAGGTTGCCAGGAGTGGTGCTGGCCACCCAACCCCTTTCGTGCACCATGCCGGCCTTCACAGGTGCTCGCTAACAGCACCTTCCCCAATAGTCTGATTAAAAGGCGATACGGGGGAACTTTTTCTTTGTAGATGAAAATATCCTCGTAATGTGTGTATATATATGTGTGTGTGTGTAAGGTGTTTAAAAATTAAAACAAACGAGTTGGCCGCAAATGTTAAGTGTCCCCACCCTGGCTAACTGCCGGCGGGCGGGCGCGAGCCGGTTGACCGGCGTGTCTATGCTTGCTGTTGTGAGGTCACATACACACATACACACACACAAAGACAAAGTTCCCTCGTGTAGCCTGCACGAGACTGTTGAGGACAAGCACGTTGCAAAGCCAGCACGAGGTGGTGGTGTGGCCAGCGCCACGCCTGGCCAACCCGTCTTTGTCTCCTCAGTTGCTGACGTTTGCACACTGCACAAAGTACTCATTTAAGGCCGAGTCGAAATAGGGGAGCTCCCAGGACCGGTTTGGATAATCGCCACTGATTATATATAATCAGCCATAGCCGGGAATTTAATTCAGATGTCTGAGTTCATAGTGCAGTGTGCGAACCACTGTGCCACCATTCCACCCCACACACACACACACCTCGCACCCACCCACCCTGCCTCACCGCAGTCCGTGGATTTGCTGACATGCAGGTGTATCAGTCTGCATCCCATGCCACGCCGACTTTACAGTAAATTGGTAAAGGTGCAGTCCTGCAATTGATTGCTCATGCCACTGCTGCTGGAAGGTTCTCATTAGATGGAGCTTTAGAAAGGGCCTCTCTCGAAGGTATTTGGCCTATTCTTCCACGTGGAAAGGGGTCTGAGTACCCACACGTTTCCGCACCCAACGCGATCTGCCTATCTGCTGAGTGGACCGACGTGGCGGGGGGTGGGCTGGCATTAAGAAACTTGGAGCGTTGTTTCAACTGCAGCGCCCGTGAGATGGAACCGGCGGCATCTGCATTGCGGGTGCCATGTGGCAACCGTTACGCCATGACAGCGTCCTCCCTATTGGCAGACCGGCGGTGGCATACACAGGTTTCCCGGTTGCTTCATGCCCACGCTCTTGGCCCTGTTGGCCTTGAGCAACAAGCGTTTGACGGACGCTGCCAATCAAGAGCTGGGCTATCCAAATATTTAAAGGAATTGATTACTGTTTATCGATTCGAGTACTCGACGAATTGGATAAGACGGAATTGTTGGGGAGAAAATAAAAAAAAACCTCACGTTTGTTCCCACGTCTTCCGCTCGACGGAGGTGGGGGGGGGGGTGATGGGCAGAGCTCGGTGACATCGCCCGCATAGTCGGCCGCATCACGTTGGGCATGGATTAAATATCGGGGGTTTCCTGCCTTCGGAAGGCAGGAAACCGGGGCAACCAACAGTTTTAAATGGGCTTGTGTAATTGAATGCGAAAAGCAGCCGATCTCAATTTTTTAGTCGATTGATTATCCCAGCTCTAGTTTGCACCACCTGCTCATTCGTGCGCCGTGCTAACCTTAATCGGTGCTATCTGACGATCTGCCGCGACTTTCCACGCAATCTAAGCATGGGAATCGCTGTCTCTTGTTGTGTTTGTTGCAGGCGTGCTGGCGCTGTGGGTGTTCGTCACCCACGCCATGTACCTACAGGACTACTGGCGCAGCTGGCTGCGGGGCCTCCGCTACTTCCTGGCGGGCGGAGTGCTGGCGTCGCTCATCGCACTGACGGGCAGCATCACGATGCTCGCCCTCGCCTGCCACAAACAAGAAAGTACGGCCATGCCATTCGGTCCACACCACCTCACCGCTCCGTCCGCACCGCGCCGTCTGCACCGCCCTGTGTGCACCGCCCTCTCCACACCGTTCCGTCTACACCACACGAGCCACATTGCACTCGGACGACCATATTTTTTTTTCAATAACTGAGAGATCTGGGGAAAACCCACCACGCATACCAGAGTGTTACGCTCAAAACTACATACCGATCGATTTAATTAATGGAAAAATGAGGTGCACATTGCAAATGAGGCCGTACAAACAAGACAAATAAAATCTTAATTCTCGAAGACATGACAATTCGGCAAATGTTTGGCGGTGGAGGGTTTTGAGTAGGGTGGGATGTGAATCTTTACCAACTCTATACCACCAGCTTATGGACTGGACTCGCAAACTTCACAAAATGAGTTGGACCTGGGCTACATGATGTTGCTCTTCACGAACATCTGGCAATCCAGCAGCGTTTATTTAACGCTGCTGATGGGACCCGGAAGGTTTCAATCGGTCCAGAGTTTCCGTGCTTACACAAATACTGTTGGATAATAATTGATCTGGAAAGCCAACAGGCTGATGGATGGAAACATTATTCATGTTGACACACAGTATAGATATATGCTCATCTGTGCTCTTTCCCATAATGCTGCACAGTAATGGATGAGTTTGTAATAATCTCTGCTCATGTGATCATGTGTTTTGAAGTTAGTGTGTTTTTTTTTATAGAATCAAAGTCATTCACTGCCCCTTTTGCCAATCCACTGCTGAATAGAGCACACACTCATGGGGGCTGTTTGACCATACTTCACCAGGCAGGTCAATGCTGGTTGGTGATGGTGGGGTGCCCAGGACTGGTTCAAACATCACTCACCACTCGTGTTAGCCATTGTCGGGAATTGAATAGAAATCACCAGATTCATAACGCTGTGCGGTAATTACTGCACCACCGCCACTACTCTCATGCACAAAAACGAAGATCCCCATGTATGTATTTTGAACTTCTTTCGCACCGTACGTAGCCAACCATGCTGAATCGAGGTGTGTAACCTTTAATAGACTGCTAAGCAGGCATTGTGAACATTTGAGGCTGAGTTTAGCTGGAGGAGGACGAGGACCGATTCTAGAATATATTTCAGGTCACATGGTTCATAGCGCAGTACGCTAACCACTGCGCCTCCGCTCATCCTTGCTGTTTACACTATTTGGCTTTCGTTTGCGCGTTGCTCGTCGGTGAACAGTAATTCGCGAAGCGCACTTGTGTTTTTATTGTTTAATTGAAAAGCCGACCACAATTAGCACCGTCCACGCAGTAGGTCATCGACAGGGCCCGTCGTGATATTTGTGGTAACACCGCTCATTAGCCGTGAAACCCAAGCTGAGCCACATTGCCTATTCATAGCCTGTCGGCAGTGTCAGGCATTCCAATTCAAAGGGAAAGTATTATTTATTTTTCAGTCCGTGAAGGGGATCTTTGGGAATTGATGACTTTTTTTTTATAATGTTTTTGGATTTTTGTTTCTGTTAACAGTATGCCATTTGATCTGTCGGTGTTGTATGGCCACGGAGCGTACAGATTTTCATTCGGGGGCCCCCCTGGCAGAAAGCAAGCATTAACGTGGTCCCGTTTTAGCGCAGCCTCTAGATGGTATCAGATCACAGATCTACTTGTGAGGTCCATTCATTTACCTCTCATCCACACTGGCTCCCGCGCCTTCTCAAATGCTTCTGCTTTTTAAGAGTTGTCTGTTGCGTGACAAGCGGAATCACTCTCCGATGTGTTCTCGGGTGATCCCGTCTGTTTTTCGTCATGATGTCTTGACGGTTCACCCCACGTGTTTGGGAGCTTGTTTACAAGGGACCGAGTTGAGCGGCTTATTATTTCTCAGAGCACGTTTGTTTGCATGCATGTTCACCATAAGCACGTGTGGTTAATGCGAACTTGATTCCTTTTTAAAAGATTTCTGTTTGGTGTTTGAACATCTTAACACCTGTTTTATTGCCAGAATGGGTAAAACCTAATCTTATTTGTAATACTTTGATACTGGCAAAAAGGTCCCATTTTAAAAATTATTTTCTCCTTAAATTTGAGCTGCTCAATGCAGTTCCTGAAGATGCTCCCATCCAGCGGAGCGAAACGTCGGACATCATGCCCAACGACACGCGGTACCACCCGAGAACATAGCCACAAGTGCAACTTTATTTATGCAACTTCATTTCCGGGTTCCTTCTTTTCGGCGTAGCCTTGAAAGGCATAACACAGACTCCAACATGGTTGTTAGACGCAGAGGAAAACCTGTACCGCGGTGTGTGCCGCGCGATCATTTTGTGGTCGGCGTGTGTCTTGGCGCTCGCCACCCTGAGCTTGAACTTTTTTCCCCGCTCATCTCCCGTTTTTTCGCACAGCGATGAAAGACCCGCGGAGTCTGTACTGGAGTGCGCTGGCGAGCGCGCTGGCGCTGCTGTGGGCGCTGCTGCTTGCAGCCTTCTCCTTCGGCTACCGCCGGGAATTCGCCGAGTTCAGCCTGCTCATGGACTTCTGAGACGTGGGGTCTCACCCCCTGTCGTCGCTCACGCCACCTCCGCACCCATCCCCCCAAGCCACCCCTTGAAATACAACCTCGTGGTCTGAGCGCTGAGCTTGTGCTGCCGAGATGCTGGGTTCGAATACAGGTTTCACCCTCCTGTGATTATACCAGGCTTCCAAGTATAGAGAGTTGATGGTCTCAGCCCGGTCACTTATGACTGGCTTTTTTTTAAAGCAATGACATCAAAATTTGGCTCTGCGCTTATTTTTGTGAAGTTTTAGCTCAGTCTGACTATGCGTGAGATGAACATTACTCTCATGTGTAGAGCGGGTGGGAAAGTGTTGCCCTTTACCATGTGGACACGAGGTCACTTGAAGAGATCTCAAAGATTGTTCTGCGATATTCGCTTCTGTGAGCTGTTCTGTAACGTAGAGGGATGCACTGCTCTGCGAGCAATCCGATTGGATACGTAGGGTCATAACATGATGCTGATAGCACAATCGGCGTAAAACTGGGTGGGGGGGAAGGGGGCAGTGGGCTGTTAAAAAAATGGAAACAACGCCAAGGCCGCCTTCTCAACCCAGCTTCCCAGGGCATGGGAGTGTCGGTTACTTTTGTGGGCAATGAGCGCCGCTTGCCACCCAGTGGGGGCCGCGCGTCTCTGCAGTTGAACGCTCGCCAAGCAGAGCCTGGGTTTCGGTGGGGAGGGCTTGTACTTTTAAATATAAATGCTTGTGCGCAGGTTTTTTTTTTACACGTATATATGGACATGGGTCGGTTTGTAGCGGCAAAGTGTTGTCAGAGGAACCCATTTACAATATTTACAAAACATGCTTTGGAACAAAATAAACGATATTTTGATATGCAATTGGTATCCCCCCCACTCCCCCCCCCTGCTAATGTACAATAGCTTTTCTGAAATTAAAGTAAATATGGTTGGCATATCACGACATGGCCTATCCAAATGGCACAAATTACTAACCCATCCTCCCATTAATTAAATAGATGTTATAATAATTTTAATCATCGTGAAAAAGGGACCGTCGAACTTCGTGCAATTTTTATTGTGACCGCTAATTGTCTTTGCGCGATGTGCAGCAGCTTCTGCTGCGCTAATTGGTTATTTATTTACCGTTATTGTGACATCTTTTGCCGAGAGAGCTTTGTTCACTGCTGTAGAGTTGGACGCGGGTCAGTTAAGATTCGCGCCGTAGAAACCGAAGATAACATTTTATTTACTGGTCGTGGTGTCAAAGCCACCCCACAGTCTGCGAGCGTACGGCTTTACATGAGTACGTGTACGGCCCGTTTTTCACTACGCTGCTGGATCAGGGCATCCCCACACTGTGTAGGCAGTGAGGGTTATTTACCCATACTTCACCATACTGGTTGGTGAATGTAGTGAGAGTACAAAACAATGCATTTTTCTGCACTACCGTCAACTGGTCACAGTGCATAATACTTGGTGGCCAATCATCTAAGCAATGCCCGGGCTCCTGCTTGGCTTCTGAGGCGCATTAAACCAGCTCATTGTCATCATGCAAACTGGGACAGCACTTAATTATCATGTATGTAATTGGTAGGTTACATATCTGTACCAATATAACCAAACATGCATAGAATGTTTTGTATATAACCTTGCGTATGGTATTTGTACAGGAGGGCGGTGGGAATATTTTTAAAACGAGGGATTGAAAACGAGGGATTGAATCTAGACCGGAAGGGTTTCAAGAGAGGTGTTATTTTAAGACACGTCTGTGTTCACCATTCGAGCAACGTGGATATTCTTCGAAACCATATTGCAAACGTAAGAGTGGATTTAATAACCCGCGCTCAAAACGTGGTGACCAGCCCCTCCTGTCAATACTTGTTTTACTTCTTAGATTTTCGCGTCTGTGGTGTTATATTGCTCTCCGCTCTGTTTTCGAGGTTGTGCAGAATGATGTCTGACGTTTCGCTGTAATTGCTGCGAGCTTCTTCAGTTCCTTCTGTTCCTGAAGCGGCTCCGCACGTGGAACGAGACGTCGTACATTTTGCCCAATATACACCCGGTACAACCAGAGAGCTTATCGGAGAGCCATACTTACGTTACTTGTTTATTTTAAGTGTGCTCTATTACAGAAAAAACAAATACTTGTGATAAACGGATTGAAAACAAACGGGTGCAAACAATGAAACAACTCCTGGACATTGCACTGTTGTTTGTACGAGGAGACTGGCTAACCTGACTATGAGGTCACGACCTCGACACTTTGCCGAGCGTTGTGAATTGGGCTTCTCAAATGTAGCTGTTTCCATGTGGGCCAATGAACTAGCTCGGAACCGGTCTTCAAAACAGCAAGGAGATTCTCCGGTGCTCCTTGGTTCCGGCCTCTTTCCTGCTACAAACACCAGTGGGCACGACACGTTTTATCGGTTACAATCGCTCGCGATACTTGCAATCATTTATGCACCTGTGAGAATACATTATTAGCGATACATGTGAATTACATGCGCTGTTACATTGAGGCTTTTGTGGAATGAGTGAGACTGACAGAAACAAGACTAGACCGGTTATAATATTGACCTGAATTCATCGAATTGTCGAGGTGTGGGGGGGGGGTAAATTGTCACATTCTTATGAGCCACATAGGTTCAATTCCAGGTCACGACATCATTGTCAATTCACATCTGAACCTGATTTGGGCTTTCCGTTTTAGGTCATCGGGTCAAATAAAAAATAAGTTTTTTTATTTAAAAAGAGGTAGCACATTGTTTTAAAATTTTAACCCTCAACCACCATGGGGGCCAGTCTCATTTAGACAAAAAAGCAAAGGAGACTCCAAAAATTTGACAAAAGAGGGATCGATTTTTTAATCAAAACGTGACCTTGAAGCGTAACAATTCATCAAATCGCGAGATGGTCGGATTGTTACATTGCCTCGTGGTTAACACCAAAACCTCTATCCTCATCCCTATGGTAGCTTGCGTGGTAGTGGTGGTGATTTAATGATTAAGGACTGACTGGCCATTCAAGGTGCTGAGGAGCTCACAAGAGGATAAACACGTGCAATTTACTAAAAGGGATGACATTGTGGATTATAACTCTGCTGTGGCCACGGCTCATGATGGCCAGGCCTTCGGGGACCTCGCTAGACTGCGTATGTTCTAAAGTGATGCGCACGTTTTGTCGTTTGGCGTTTTATGCTTTATTCATTTAGTGGTGAACTTGTTTTTATTGTCCCGTGGGTTGATTTATTTTCGTGCAGTGTTGCAACACGTTTAATCACAGCCAAAGTGCGTTAACATGTCATTTTAGCGGTCGCCAGTACGAAATATGTTTTGGTTTAAGGGAGTACCAGTAGCATCAGGTTTAGGCCAGTAACCTGAATATAAAATAGCTACATGCGTTACACTAATGTACCCGATCCTTTATCTAACCATAACTGAGGGCTGTCTTGTGCGTCTTGGCAAATGCATGGGGCATCATCGGTCCACCTGTGGATTTGTGCGTGTTGTCGGACATGCCTTTTGTATCGTTACAGTTTTATGACTGGGATGACCAACATTTTAATTAAAGCTTGCAATAAAGACACGTTTGTGTTAGTTATTCTTAATGCAGTACATGTGCACTTCAGTCCGCGAACAAAGTTATTGATGAACCGGAGGTTAATATTCCGAGTTAGGCTACGTGTCGAGCATTTGACAAGGTTTTGCCACGCACTTCTCTGGGCATATTCGGGATGTGGCGAAAGCTTCTCCTTGTTGCGATGCCCACTGGAGAGCATGGCAGTTGCTCTCAAGAATTGCTCAACACGTGACCTAACGCCGAAGACAATTGGGTTATGAGTGGTTGCTAGGTCAGCTCCAGCAGTTTTTTTTAGTCAACTGAGACTCCAGAAAATGTAAAATGGCGTCAACAGATGTGAAATGGCGCCCCCATGTGGACTTGGCTGACTGACGCATGGGGAATGATGAATGTCAGGACACTGAGCCCAGCACTTGCTGGGGCTCGTGGTTTAGAGACAACCAAGTGATTTGGTGTTTTTTTTAGAAAGCCATGTTTACAATGACTGCACACTTAAAACCCCTAAACATGGGTGGCTCAGGGCTCTGAGCTGGCTTCAGCCACTCGTGATTGGGTTCCCTCGTGTAGTGAATTGATGGGCTCAGCCTGGTCACCAATGATTTCGCAGAAATAAGTGTTTTTTTTGTAACTCGCTTAATTTGGAAAGAAAAATGTAGACCAGGTGACGTATTCTTCCGTGAGAGTTCCAAATGGAAATTTCTTCATATCATCTGCCTATAGCAAACCAAGGGTTTTATAGCGACAAAGGTTTCATAGTGAGTTACAGGGGCAACGACAGTCTACAATGGGAAGGCCATATGCGAATTGTGGTCTGCCTTTATTATAATTGGTGTACTGTACTATGGCTCTAATATTTAAATCATTGCTAATAGGTACTCGCTAGTAAAATAAAAGTTTTCTTACCAGAGCGTTAAAAAAGAACGGCCATATTGTATTTTGTTTATGCTTGAAGTGGGTTATAATTTACTACATTTTGAGAAACCTAACCTGGTTTTAGTCTCATGGTTTTCGACCAGTCTGTTGAAGTTTCCCTGCAAAGATCACATGATATCACATGCACCCATTATTCCTGAAGGATTTGAAACTGTTTGAATGAAGCTAATTTGATTAATTAAGTTCCTTTATATTTTACTGGATACACATTGGATGCCGTCCCTGGTCTAATGATTACACTATGTTACACAATTTTTGTTCCTGGGTAGTAAGTGTTATTTCGACTTAACTTTCGTGACTGCAGGAATTAATATTCTTTGGTTATTTCGGTGAAGTCACGTAGATAGAAAAATAATAAAAAAAGAAAGTCAACAAAAAATAAAAAAAACATTTAGTGTAGCCTGGTTCTTAATCAGAGTGAGTATACTGGCAGTCTATAATGTAGACTGTAGCCTGGTTTTGATTTAAAGCTTTCGTGATTGCAGGGATTCATATTCTTGGTTCTTTGGGTAAAGTCACGTAGAAGGGAAACAATAAAATAATAATAATTAAAAATATATAAAACAATTTACTGAAAGAAACAAGAATATGTAGCCTGGTTATTAAGTTTGGTGAGTGTACTGGCAGTCTATAATGTAGACTGGAGTCTGGTTCTTAACCTCGGTGAGGGTACTGGCAGTCTATAATGTAGACTGTAGCCTGGTTTTTAAGCTTTTGAGCGTATTGGCAGTCTGTAATGTAGACTAGCAATGGTTATTAAACTGAGTGAGCGTACTGGCAGTCTATAAAGTAGACTTATTCTTGGTTCTTTCAGTAATAAAATATAAAAAAAAACCTCGATGTTTCGATCACAACACAAGCGGTCGTCATCAGGAAAAGGGGGTTAGCCTCTAAAGGCAAACTGATTATAAACGTTTAGAGATAGGCGTAGCCCAAGTGTGTCAGAAGCATGGGCGGGGCACAAAGGCGCATTGCCACAGGTGTGACTAGGCCTCGGCAAGGTAAGGTAATTTACCCTTTTTACCGGGTAAAAAGGTAAAGGTGTTGACATGCCAAGGGGTAAGGTAAAGGGTGGGCTAAAGGTAGCGCGGAAGAATTACCCGATAGGGTAAAGGTAGCGGGAAGTTTTACCCGGTAAATACCTTGTTTACCGCTCGCTAAAAGCTCCGTGGCGCAGTCCATGGCCTCCATTTAAAATTGGAATCATCGAGAGTATTCTATATGAATAAAGCACTCTACAAAGCATTTACCTGCTATAAGCCTTTTTCATGTGTAGTACCCCAGTAATTACCCTGTAATCGGGTAATTTGTATGGGGTAAGGGTAAAAGGTAGGGTAAAGGTAGGCTCGTTGTTTGTACCTTTTACCTTACCTTGCCGAGGCCTCGGCGAGACTGGCCACAGTGGACCGAGTTCTCTGTGGGGAGGAACAACGTCAAGTGGGAGCCACTGGTGGACCCCCGGAAGGTGCTGATGCCACCACTGCACATCATATTTGGCCTCGTGAAACAATTTGTCGGAGCTGTAGATAATGAGTCGGCAGCCTTCAAGTACCTTCAGGACTTCTTCCCTAAGCTGTCTGAGGCAAAGGTCAAAGCCGGTGTCTTTATCGGACCACCGATAAAGAAGATCCTGGAGTGCAATGAATTCCCCAAGAAGCTCACTCGTAAGGAGAAGGCGGCTTGGGACAGCTTTGTCGCAGTGGTTCGTGGCTTCCTGGGCAATCACAAGGTCGAAAACTATGTGGAGCTGGTTGAGACTCTGGTGAAGAACTACGGCACAATGGGCTGTAGGATTCATCTTCTTGGTTCTTTCGGTAAAGTCACGTAAAATGGAAATAAAATAATAAAAACAAAACAATAAAATAAAATCCTCACGACGTTTCGGCCACAACACAAGTAGCCTTCTTCAGGTGAAGGAACAGAACTGTCGGGACGACAGCGCTTCAATGAACACTGCTAAGATTCGCAGCGTCTTTTAAGCTGGGTGGGAGGAGCAGAGCGCCTTGACAAAGGAGTTTACATATCAACAGAAGAATTTAGCATTGATGTAGCTGTGTTAATGTGTTGGATTAGCAGGGTGTTAAAGTCAGAAATTAGCATGTAACTGGGAGATTAGCATGATATTAATGTGAGGGATTAGCATGTAACTGGTCACGGAAATAGCTATGTTAAAGTCAGTTTACATATCAACAGAGGCATTTAGTATATTGATGCTAAAGAACTGCAACTACCCAACTTCATACATTAAACCGATGTGAAAAAACTAAGTATAAACTACATGAATATAATAAATGTACTCAATATATTCTTCAATAAGTTGAGCTATTAACACAAAGTAACTGGGTATACACTACACTATATAATGAATACCACATAGTAAACTGATAAAAAAAAACTAAAATATAAACTACATCAATGTTATCAATAAACTCAATATACTCTCCAATCAGCTGAGCTACTGACAATAAGTCGTTATACATTACAATTCTACGTCGAATAAAAAAGGTGGCGTTTTTTTTTCTTTTCAACGTCAGCACCACGGACAGCGACGAGCTTTGTTCAGACGGACGAGTCCATCTATGCTCGGAACGGAGGAGGGGGGAGGATGTCCCTCAAAGTCCACATCCTTGATGCTCATCTTGATCAATTCAAGGAGAACATGGGAGCGTACTCGGAGGAGCAAGGCGATCGCTTCCACCAGGATATACTGGACTTTGAACGCCGCTACCAAAGACAGTATAACGAGAACATGATGGGAGATGACGTTTGGGGGCTGATTCACGAAAGTGATTTACAGTATAATCGTAAATCTCGAAAAAACTACTCACTTCTAAATCTTCTGTCGTGATTTTTGTATTACTTTAGTATAAATACATGTTAATTTTGATTCATATGTTGTTGTTTTCTGACTTTATGTGAACGAAAAGATGCAAATTCGCCCGTTTTCTCATTGAAAATAGGTAAATTTCAAAATATCACTGTCCTGGTCACAAAAACAAAAGTTCGTGGGTAATAATAGCCATTTTCTCTACTTTTGAGGCATAAGAAATTAGGAAATAACACTTACTACCCCGGAACAAAAAAAATGTACACAGTGTTATCACACGACTCGATATCCCGGTTGAAACAATGGGATTGTATGTTGACCCCTTCCTGTGACCCACAGAGTTGTGAGCGAAGTTTAATGCGTATGAAAGTGTGAGGGAAGTTGAGGAAGATTTGAGTTTTGCAAATGTTTTCCCAACCTGATCCTCAAGAGTTGTGAGCGAAGTTTAATGCGTATGACAGTGTGAGGGAAGTTGAGTTTGTGTGTTCGTCACCATGTTTTGCATGGGTTTCTTCTGGTTTCCTCTCATAACTTAATTTTAAAAAACCCATGCGAACAAACCCCACACACACACAATGTAACTCGTGCTACCTATTGGCCAAAGCGTCCCAATCCTAAAGATTTACCCCGCAAAACGTTCTCGATTTCGGTTACACAATGCGACGATCATCGACCACGTCGCAAATCGTGATTTTTTTTTGAAAAAGAAAAAGAAAAAACAAACCCTCCTGATTAAAAAAAAGTTTTATAGATTTGTTGAGGGGAATAAATAAATAATAATTATTATAATAAATAATTGGTGGTACAGTCGTCGAGTAGTTTTGTGATAGCGACCCCTATCGGTGTTAGCCACTCGGGACCAGAATCCACCTCAAGCCATGCCCGGCCATCGTCTCCCCGTGTGCAGGTGACGCTAGTTTAATAATTGAACCGTCTTTAAATTAACAACTTCGCTTTTTAATTCTAAATCTATTTAACTACGACACAGGGAGAGAGGATTGCGGCGGTATTTTGCGTTTGAATCGATTGAGTGTCGGGTGCCCTTGGTCGTTGTTTGTTGTTGTTGACATTGTTTTGGCGGGAATTGTTTTGTTTTATCTTTGTGAGGTGGTCGTCTCTCTATCTCTGTGTTGTTGTGCGTTTGTTTGTGTGGTTCTGCTCGGAGTGAAGGGTGGCATGGCGAGCTTGTGAAGAATACTCGACGTGTACAGTGCGCGCAATGTCAAGCAGTGATGCCCCCTATTGTATGCACTGTATATGTGTGTGTGGGCCTCCTCGAGGTGGACTCGGCATTAAATATTAGTTCGTGGTGCCGTGTGTAGTAGACATCGCCGCCAGGGAGACAAAGGCGGCCGGGCGTGCGTGGTTGCTGGCCTTGCCCACCCCCTCGTGTGTGCCGTGCCGGCTTCTCGCTAACAGCACTTGCCCCTACAGTCTGTTAAGGCTACACGGGGGATCTTTGTATACCTGGTGCTGTGTTAACAATAGAACTGGGGGAGACAAAGACGGCCGGGCGTGGTGCTGTCACCACCACCACGTGCTCCTTGCCGGCCTTCATAGGTGCTGCCCGCTAACAGCACTAAGCCCCCCCCCAGCAGTGTGTGCTGCACGGGGGGGTGGGGGTCACGTCTTGTGTGTCTGTGTGAAGTATTCGCTAAATCCTGTGTTGTGTTGTGTTTGTTGTTGTTGCAGATCTCTCTTCAGAGCCCATGTAACGCTCAAGCACATCGTGAGTGCTCGTTTTTAAATGTGAAGCTGATTTTTTTGTTAATTAACCGTGCACATGATGCGTCCATGACTCTTGACAGTGTGGTCGTCATCCAGCAGTGGATTGTCAAATTATTTTATAGGAATTGCTGTAATGGTATAATGGTTAACGTTGAGCTGGCCAGTTGTACATTTTTGTTCAATTAATTAAGGACTTTCCCAGCTCTAATGGCCACCTTGTAGGTCAGCAATGTCAGCTATGTTATGAATAGACCGCTTCCCACCATAGTAACGTGGAATGTTCTCAATTGACTCAGGGCAGCCAGTGCAGATGAGCGCAGCCCCGTGAGTGCCAAGTTATTGTTTTTTTAATGTTGCAATCCACATGTGGAATAAATATTTGTGCAAATGATACTCTCTGTGCAGTCTCACAGAATCGACAAGTTCAAAGTACAGCCGAGTACTTGAATAACAGTCTCGTTATTCAGTACTCTACTACCAGCTGCTCAGTACAGCCGGCATGGCAGTACAGTTGCTGTCACAGCACAGGGACTCCTCTACGAGTTAAATTACCAGAGGTCTGTTCGTAAGTCCATTTAAGTCCAACTTTACACCTGTCGATTGCAAACATTTCGATTTAAAGCTTTCGTCACTGCAGGGATTCATATTCTTGTTTCTTTCGGTAAAGTCACGTAGAAGGGACATAATACAATTATAAAAATAAAACATAATATTTTAAAATTCTCACGACGTTTCGGCCACAACGCGAGCAGCCGTCCTCAGGTGAAGAAACAGAGCTGTCGGAAAGACAGCGCTGCAATGAACACTGCTAAGCTTGGCAGCGTATTTTAAGCTGGGTTGGAGGAGGAGAGCGCCTTCATAAAGGAGTTTGCATATCAACAGAGGAATTTAGCATATCTGCATTTGTCATCAATATGCTAAATTGTGTTCATTAGGACGCTGTCTTTCCGACAGCTCTGTTCTTCACCTGAGGACGGCTGCTTGCGTTGTGGCCGAAACGTTGTGAAAATTTTATTTTATTATGTTTTATTTTGATTATTTCCCTTCTACGTCACTTTACCGAAAGAACCAACAATATGATTCCAAACATGTTGTACAGTATGTGAACTAATCACGGGGAATGGTTTCAAAAGTTTTATAATCTCCTGGAGATGAGAAGTCACCGGTTCTTCATATTCTGCAGATGTAGATGCCACTACCGCCATTTATCGCACGGCGGTTTAACTTACGCCTCTCGATCCCAACAGATAACTGGCTATATGGACAGGTTTGTTCGTATCTCTGAAAGTTTGTGAGTCGAGTGTTCGTAAGTAGAGGAGTTCCTGTACAGTCAGTCTCTCACTACAGCCAGTATTTCACTACAGGCAGTCTCTCACTACAGTCACACTCACAGTACGGCCAATCAGTTCGGCCAGTCTCACATTACACCTAGTCATTCAAAACAGGCAATCGCTCAGTACAGCCATTCAGTACAGCCGGTCGCTCGATGCAGCCAAAGCGTCCGCATTCAGGTCCTGAATAAGCTCCCAGCACGTGGCATGACACGTTCGGAAGTCACAGCGAAGAGCACGCAGTTCCATCGCAAAACCAAAAACACATCGGAGAGCCGTAACACAACGACCGCGACAACAAAACTACGTTGCAACGTACGGACTCGCTACTTGGGCCGGGGATGCTTAATCACGTGTCTCGTGTCTCCCATGGCAGGCGATGAGGCCAGCAAGCAGCGCAGCCCCCGAGCCGGAGGTGGTGCTGGCACGGACGGGCTGTGCCGGGGTGGCGCTGCTCAACCGTCCCCGCGTCCTCAACGCCCTCAACATCTCCATGATCCGCCACATCCTCCCACAGCTCAAGGTGGCGATGCTGACCTCGTCTGCGCCACTGCCACCACGAGTTGCCGCTGCCCCCCCCCACCCCACCTCCTCTTGTTGCCACCAGGATCATTGCCAGAAACTGTCACGCGCTGCACGCAAGAATCCACGTGTAGCCTCGTGCACCCACACACGCTGGCTATGTGTTTGAAACCCGAATTTGGTTTCATCCTCACAAACACAAATCGGGGCCCAGTACGACATTTCCAATGAAAAATAATCGATATTAGAATCATAAATACATACTTACTGTACATGCCAATTGACCACCTGTGAATCACTGCGACTGGCTACTTGGCCCACCTCCTATCGCTGCAACTACACTAGATTGCATTTACATTTATTTTACCTCTCACACAGTTACATTCATGCCCAACACGCATCAACTGCCGTCATTGCTATTGCCATCTGCTTCTGCTGCAATAATGAATGCTACTACAAAACGCTGCACATGCATGCACTGTACATGTTGCACGTATGTGAGGTGCGTACATGCCCCCATGTGCACATCATTGGACCACTCCCAGCACTAGTGCAACCTGCTGCTAGACTAAATACTGGCACAATGTGCTGGACCATTGCTAATGCACGCGCATTGCACGCATTCAATGCATCAGTCGCCTTATGTGTTTGCATGCGTGTATGTTTGTGGGGAGCAGTGGCACAGTGATTAGCGTACTGCACCATCCAGAAACCTGAGTTCGGTTCCCGCTCACAGCAAACACTGGCGCTGAATAACTGAACTGGTGCTGGCCCCCCCCCTAGGTCGACTCAGACTAAATTAGTACCTGGTGCAGTGTGTAAACATCATTGGGAAGACAAAGACGGCCGAGCGTGGGGTTGGCCGCACCACCCCCTCTTGTACCAGGGCAGCCTTCATAGGTGCTCGCTTACGGCACTTGCCCCAACAGCCTGCTAAAGGATATATGGAGGATCTTTATGTTTGTGTGTATTTGTGTTCGTGCGTGCGTGTGCCTCCGTTCATTCACGTCTCAGAAATGGGAGGAAGACCCCGCCACCAGCATGGTGATCATAAAGGGCGCCGGCGAGAAAGCGTTCTGTGCTGGAGGTGACATCAGAGGTCAGAGCCGATATGTGTTGTGTGTGGCGTGAGGTATGAGCACATGGGCCTAATCGATCGTTGTTCTGCAACTGTGGGTAGTAGCAGTGTTGTTGTCACTGCATTGCACGCGAGTTTGTTGGCTTCCTGCCTGTGGTAAACGTCAGTTGCTCATGGAGCTCACGTAACAAGAACCTGTTCCTGGACTTCTCCAAGTGTAATCGGATGAAATGCGAGTATATGATGTGGTAGTATATAAATAGCAGCACTGAAGAGATCAAGGCAGCCAAGTGTGGTGCTGGCCTCCCCTTTCTACAATGTGCCCGTGCGGGTCTCAATACGTGCTCGCTAACAACAGCCTCCTCCCACGGCCTGTAAGGCTAAACTGGGGACCTGTGTCTTATTGTTGCAGCTGTGATGGAGGCAGGAAAGCGCGGTGACAGCCTGGCAAAGGACTTCTTCCGCGAGGAATACATCCTGAACCACGCTATCGGTATGCATCCACAACTTAATAATGCAACATTGAACATTTTTCCCTCAAAATGTTCTCAATTGTGATATTGTCATCCTACCGTGAGACGAAGGCATCCATTCGGAGCTCTCGCAGAGCATTGCAATCTTTCGTGTTAGAGAATTGGCTCACGGCTATCACAGAACCACTTCTGAGATCCTTGCAAATGGTTTGTTATGCACACTCGGCGGTTAGAACGTTTTCACCCACACTACTAGAGAGAGGCACTTTGTTGCATAACAAACTGATCATTTTTATTCTCAGAGCTGGGATTTAGCCTGCACAGCACAAATATAATTAATCTGTTTGTGTTTTTGTGCAATCATCGGCGACTAGGCTAAGACCGTCAACTGGCTACACTTGAAAACCCAGTTTAATCACGAGCAGCTGCGTGGGTCTCGGCAGTGCCAGCTCAGAACTTCTAACTCGCTTAGTTGCAGAAGTTTTGTCCACGGTTGATGTACAAATGCGCATTTCCGTGATTTTGTTAATTATATTCCCATTGAGTAAAGGTTGTGTTGGTCACGTGGGTGATATGAGCGTGGCTCTCGCGTCTCTCCCGCCCGTTCGTAGGGACGTTCAAGAAGCCGTACGTGGCGCTCATAGACGGGATCACCATGGGAGGCGTAAGTTTGTCTGCGAGCGAATATTTCGGCAACATCCCGGAACGACAAGAATGCAGTTGGGATTTATGCAGCGTCAAGATACAAACATATCTCAAGACGCATCTTCAGAGCAAGTTGGCTGCAGCAGCAGAGCAGATGCCCAATTGGGCACTCTAAAGAGGGTGCCAGTAGGTTAGGGGGTGATGCCAGCAGTTCATATATGATGCCTGTGGTCTGGGGAAGGAAGCAATATATTTAGAGATGATATTAGTAGTTCATAGATGCCAGTGCAGGGAACTGTGAATACTCTTTGGTTCTATTGGGTAAAGTCACGTAAGTGAAAATAAAATAACAAAAAATCACGACGTTTCGGCCACAACACAAGCGGCCTTCATCAGGTGAAGGGACGAGACTGTCTGGAGGACAGCGCTGGAGTGGAAGAAGCCACGCTTAGATCACGACCTTTAAGCTGTGTGAGAAGACAAAGACCACGCGCCTTGACAAAGGAATTAGCATATCAAAGATCGTGCCAATATATCAGAGATTATGTCATAATCTAGAGAACGTACCCAATACCTTGAGGAATGTTGCCTGGAGGCATACAGAAGGGACCGACATAGCCCAGGCAAGGCTATTGAGTGGTGACTCATGCACTAATTACGGTTGTTCCAATGCACTATCAACGGCAGATGTGCGATCTTTGATTGGCCACCCTTGCCAATATCGGCTCTCACAGCAGTAGACGCAGCGGTGGCTTCAGTTTAAAGCTTTTCTCTGTCTCTGCTCCCTGGATTTTGATCTTAACTCCGGTTGGTGTTTTTTTTTCTCCGGTGCAGGGCGTCGGGCTGTCGGTGCACGGGCACTTCCGCGTCGCCACCGAGCGCACGGTCTTCGCCATGCCGGAAACCGCCATCGGTAAGCCCAGCAAAAAAAAAAACTCTCCGCGGAAAAGTGTTGCAAATATACGCTTGTGTGCGTGGGTCTTTGTTCGTTTCACTCGGTTAACACGTAACACCTGGGTCTGTCCTGTGATCAGATGCCAGTGAGACACTTTTTTTTTGTTTAGTTTGTTGTCCTTCCCCCACACCTCCGATTAGCATCGTTTGCTACATACGGTGTGTAAGAAGTTGAACATACATATGTAGTGTTGTAAGGACGAGCAGACTTCTTTAGGAGGCACACTCTGTTTATTGTATTATTTCCTTATACAATGCTTAACACACACAGAGGGATATTCGGTCCCCTCACCCGATACCCTAGGGAGGTACAACCTCCGGACTTGGCGGGACTCACACGTCTACCGCTATCCTAGTCCTCCGGCTAGGACCTAGGGGAGGCTATCTGACCCACCGCTGGCCCGGTGGGTCCGGACCACTGGGTATGCCGAGCCTTAGCCCTTAGAAGGGCTGGAAGGCTGGTCCAGTGTCCTAGCTAGGCTTCAGCCCAGTCTTCTGTCTTCGTGCAGGGAGAGAATTCCCCCAGGTCCATTGGGTCACCCGTCTTATACTCCTTCGTGGCCAGGTAGAACCAATCATACATTCCCACGTGGAACCGTCTGATTGGTTCGTACCAAACTCTGGCTACGATCCGTTTCACCTTGACTGACCCCAACCGTTGTACCCAGGGGTAATGCTGCACTGCCCTGGTGGCAATGCAGGTTACGCAACAGTGCGTAATTTACACCTCTACACATACATCGTTCACTTGGGGTGTGTCCTTTGTCAGTCCACGGCTAACAAACAATGGGCACAATTACCATTCAATCAGGACTGAAAAAACACATCCTCGCAATAATAAAAAAAACTAGTTCTTTTGCCGCGTTATTATATTCGGCAACCTATCCAAAGCCACCCCACCAGTTACCATTGAGGCAACTAGAAAAGCGTGCCCCTCCAAGGAAAATTTGGTGAATTCAGAACGTCGCAGAATGGGCCGGTTTAAACCACAACCAGCTAATCCGTGAGGTTGAGAACTGAGCAAGGTGGAGGGAGATGATGACCTGTGCTGCCAACACAATTTTACCATGGACCTCATCATCAGAGCAATCGTGGAAGATAAACAAGTGCCCTATGTCCTCTGCCGATGGCAGGTCTCTTTCCGGATGTCGGGGGTGGCTACTTCCTCCCACGTCTGCCGGGGCGGTTGGGTCTCTTCCTGGCGCTCACGGGATTCCGGCTCAAGGGCCGCGATGTGCAGCACGCCGGCATCGCCACGCATTTCACCGAGGCCGCTAGGGTGAGGCCGCTAGGGTGGGGCCGCTAGGGTGGGGCCGCTAGGGTGGGGCCGTCGCATCGCGCTGTACCGCACCGCTTCATACCGCACAGCACCACCCCCAACCAATACCCGCGATTTGTCACCAAGTGACGGTGACGTCACCACGGCGCCTGTGCCAGGTCATGTGCACTTTGAGGCCACGTAAAGTGTCGAAGGCTCGCTGGCAGCAGGTCATGGGACAGACCCAGGTGCCATGGGTTGACTGGTAGATGCACCAGCTCTGCCCCCTACTGTGCCACACCGCAACATACACCACACCGAACCACACTGCGTTGTTTTTTTTATGTTATGACCAAGTCACTGTACTGCACTGCGTAAATAACGTGATTATTATCGCTATTGCACGAGCTTATAGCATGAATGGTAGCTGTAAGCGAGTGCCGTTTGTTGGTTTCCTTGCAGCTGCCGTCCCTGGAGCAGGAGCTGGTGTCACTGTCCAGTCCCTCCCTGCAGGACGTCGCTCGGCTGCTGGACCGCTACCACCAGGAGGTACCAGCAGCAGCAGTGCGCTAACACTTGCAGCAGGAGTGGCATCAGTACCAACAGCACCAGCAGTAGGGCATTGACACCCCATTAGTATCAGCAGCAGTGGCAACAGCACTAGCACCAGGAGTAGCAGTGATTCATCATCAGCCATGACACATCATCAGCAGCAGATTCCATCAGCAGATACCATCAGCAAATACCATCAGCAGCAGTGGCAACAGCACTAGCACCAGGAGTAGCAGTGATTCATCATCAGCAATGACACATCAGCAATAGCAGCCGCATATACCATCAGCAGATACCATCAGCAAATACCATCAGCAGCGGCAGTCGGAACAATCTTGACACCCATCATCAGCAATAGTGACACCAGCGCTAGCATCAGCAGTAGTATTTGATCATCATCAGGAACAGCAGTAGTGACACCATCAGCAGTAGTGGACACCATAATCAGTAACAAGGTGCAACATGTGCAACAGCAACCGCAGAAAAGTATCTGGAAGTAAACCAGCAGCAGACTCGCAACCGTTGATCAAATCGCCGGATGGCGAGGGTGCGCCATTACAAGCCTGCTCTTAACCTGTTGTACGTCTGGGACTCGATGAAGCGATTGAGACGTGTGCTTGGGTCCGCAGTGCAGGCTGGATGAGGCCAAGAAGTTCGTATTGGCCGAGCACAGAGAGAAGATCGACAGGTGAGTGATGCGGTGCTAAAAAGTCATTTGTATACATAAGGAAAATTGTTCGATCCAACTTACTTTACGGGAAATGTATTTACTTTCACAGGGATTTATGTTCGTGAAGTTTTTTCCATATCTCTCAATGTGGTTGATTCAGCTCTTATATTCTATTTGCTTTATTGCACTACTGCATTGCTTTTGTCATTTTGGCGACCGAGGTCACTAGCAAATGAGACTCGCCCTCGTCTCCTGAATTTCACCTGGTTATCCCAAGTTAACTTGAACTTGGTGGTGGGATGACGATCCTGTGAGTGTGTCCTTGCGAGTGGCCATGGTCTGCTGACCACCTCTTCATAGCGAATGCCCAACAGCTCGTCAGCTTTACGTGCACACGTACAGGCCGTTTGCCAATCCACTGCTACATGAGGGCCTCCGTAACACCGTGTGGTTCGTGTGGGTTATCGACCATACTTCACTACGTTGGTCAGTGCGGTTTGGTGAACACAGTGTGTTCGTGTTGTGTTTGGTGTGTGTGCATGTGCATGCGTTTATAAACCTTAAACATTTTTTTTATTTTTACAGGTAAAGCCCACTGAGCTATATAGCTGTTTTTCAGAAACAATCTGGCCACAAATTATAGCTCAACGAAGTAGCATATATGGAAATTTTTAGCAGCCAAATACTCGAAATGCACGTTTCTAATTGTGGACCCGGAGAAAAATCCACGCTACCATGGGGAGAGACATGCAAACTCCAAATATACCGGCGTCAGGGTCGGGACCGAACCCACGACTTCCTGTGTACCAGGCGAGGGAGTTAACATCTCAATCTTGTACCGAATCGTTTCCTCCTGACCCCTGACTCCGGACCAGGCTGTTTTTGGCGGACAGCATGGAGGGGATCGTGGCAAACCTGGAACGCGACGGCGGGGAGTGGGCCACCCAGCAGCTCCAGGTTCGTCTGTCACTCCTCCACCCACGCACCACGCCGCGCCCGTTGATGTCCGTGTGAGACTTTCCTTTGACCAGCCGGTGTGTCCGTAACTGCCGTGGGCCTGTGCGTAATTATTGCATTCAGTGCAATAACGGTATTCAGGAAAGCCTCCCTGCATTTTGAGACTTTTTAAGGAGGGTCCTTCAATGCGATGTTTGGCCAATTTTGTATTTTTTGTGTTTTGTGTACGGTAAACGGTGAAGATGTAGCCCTGCAATGTCTTGCTCAAGTTACTTCTCGTCGAAGAGCCTCTGCTCACTGGACGGTATTTTGCCCTCCTTTTCCACACTGGACTAACGTCTCGGAAGAGGTTGGAGTACCCTCACTTTAACCTACCACACGTGACTTGTTGTGGTGTTCCCCTTTATAATGAAGAATTGCAAGTATATTTATAAACTGTTATAACCTAGGTAATCACGATTGCGCAATATTCATACATTGTGATCTCTATTAATCAGTTATGTCTTATATTTTCCACCGAACTGGTGAAATGGCTGCATAGTCTTAAATATTGGGCAGCGGCAGCGAGTTCCATGCCGATGGACCGTTAAGCGCAAAGCTGCGAGGTCCAAATCTCGCTGATCAGATCACCGCGAGCTGACACTGTGAATCATCGCAAGCCTGGTGATTGGAGAGGCAATGCCGACCCTGTGTGGTGCGCGCGTGCCCTGCCTCGACTGCTCTCCGGCACCGCCCACCCACTCTCTCCCACCCACTCTCTCCCACGCTCGAGTGCAGATGCTGAAGCGGATGTCTCCGACCTCGATGAAGCTCGCGTTGAGGCAGCTGAGCGAGGGAGGGCGCCTCAGCCTGGCGGAGGTGCTCACGATGGAGTACCGCATCACGCAGGGCTGCATGGTGGGGCTCGCACACGCTCGCACATACACGCAGACAAACATCCCCCGTATATCCTTTTCAAGTATCACTCGCCGTAGTTAATACATCAGTTGCCAGGTTCATATTGCAGTGCGCTAACCACTGGGTCACAGCTCCACCCTTCAGCACTTGTCCCAACAGTCTATGAAGGCTATCTTTGTTTTTTGTATGTGTACGCCATTTACATCCCCTATAGTTTAAGCAGCTTCATAAACCAATTCAGAATCTACTCATCTCGTCTAAACATAGCACTGTAATGGCCTGAAGGAATAGGGGCTTCTGCAGTCATATTGATGCAAGCTGAAGTGGTGGTATTAAATGATCGGACCGTGTTGCTTGTTTTCACAGAGAGGGCACGACTTTTACGAAGGCGTCCGTTCAGGTGAGTGCCTCGTGACGGTATTCACATTGCGTTTGCTATAAAAACTTGGTCGCACGTTGCGTTCGTGGACGCGGGCATCGTGTACGTCTCGCGAAATCCGTCGAGTGCCGGCGGTGGCGACGTCCGTTTCATTCGTCTCAGTGCTCATCGACAAAGACCAGAAGCCGGTGTGGCAGCCCAGCCGCTTGGAGGACGTCTCCGATCAGGACCTCGACTCGTACTTCAAGTCGCTTGGGCCCAGCGACCTGCAGCTCTGAGAACGCAGCATCAACCTGGGTCTCAGCGAATTTATTTTGCGCCTGAATATTGGCTTTAATCCCCAAATGTTTGTTCGATCTCGGAATCATTATTTGGTAATATAAGTGGTTAATATTATTCGGAGGGGAGCCAATATTCTTGCATATTAGCTCCCCTTCTGTATATTTGTACCCCCCTTATTTAATTACAAAAATGTGCAAAGTCTCTAATGCATCGTATTTTGCAGTTGTGCTGTACAGCTACTCCGATGTGCGTTTGGATTGTGCCGCGTGTTGATCGGCACGTTGTCCCGACGTTTCACTTCACATGCTGGGAGCTTCTTCTTTGGTTCTTTCGGTAAAGTCACGTAGAATGAGAATAAAATAACACGATAAAATTCTCACGACGTTTCGGCCACAACGCAAGTGGCCGTCTTCAGGTGAAAGGTACAGAACTGTCGGGACGACAGAGCTTCAGTTCTGTACCTTTCACCTGAAGACGGCCGCTTGCGTTGTGGCCGAAACGTCGTGAGAATTTTATTGTGTTATTTTATTATTTTATTCTCATTCTACGTGACTTTACCGAAAGAACCAAAGAAGATGAATCCTTGCAGTCACGAAAGCTTCAAATCGAAAAAATGCTTGGAGCTACTTCGGCAACTAAAGTGAGCTGCTCAATTCAGTGTTGGACATCGTGCCGAACAACATGCCTCAAAACCCCGAAACACATTTATTTACGCGATCTAACCCAAAAAACTCTATTATGGATGATATTGGTCGCGAAAGCCTACGTGTTAAACTCACATGGGAGAACTCGGCACAACCGTGAAAACCTAGCGATGTTGGTACCCTTTCTCTGAAAATGTGTACCTCGTTGTTTTGCAACGCGGTAATCTTTCCCTGCATTCGTTTCTAACGAAAGCCTTAATTTTCAGACTAATTTCCCAACTTATTTGTGAAGCAATTGCTTGCAGTGTAGTAAAAAAAATGTTGTACCATCTGGTGCTAACTTTTGCATCGACGATTGCATTGTCTAACCCTCACCCCCAACTCTAATCTCTAACCTGGGGGGTAGAAGGAGCAGGGAACAAGTGTTCATTGGTGGGAACAAAATAGTCGTTCCAATGGGGAAAACAAACATTCGCCAAAAATTGCTTCCTGGGGTATAAAGGTTCGGGGAAAACAATGTTTACATTGGACAGGGGATTTACAGTCTGGCTGAAGTGTTTGGAACATGGATTGCTCTTTGCAAGCGCAGTGCGGTTCACTAAGGCTGTTGTGAACGTGAAACGGGGTCGTGGCCGTTGTGACAGTGCACTTGACACTTTGGTTGCTGTGATTCGGCGATACTGTGATGTGTAAAATCAGGTCCACGGTAATTGTGTAGTCCACTTTGCAAAATACCACATCTTCATTATTGTCGATGAATTTAATATTGCTTAAATGTTTTCTGACAATATTTCTGAAATTACAATCTCGGTAATCAAGGTTGCAAGCGTCGCTGTGATGCATTCAATTATCTCTGCGAAATGTTTTCTGGAGTAATTGACAGCATGGAAAATATGACGTCATACATTTTGTAGTTCACTTCAATTGTTTCTTGTGTGACTGACGTCATGTGCCGTTCTAAGTGTTATAATGTGTAAGATTGGCAATGATGTTTCAATGAACTGCAAGTTGAAGAACTTTTAAGCAATGTTGATTTCGCGTGTGGATTCCAAATTCAAAGCTATGGGAAACCGATCTCGCGATAATCGTCATATCGTGGAATTGTATCGTCGTGAAATGTGATGTCGCCGCAAGTGGGCCCCACCGTGAGGCGCAATGGCGAAAGTTTGGCCGATGGCTTTGCAGGAGGGGGGGCCCTCCTGTCTCAAGCGAGGAAATAAACGCCGATTGTCTGCCCTGAAATTCTGTCCGGCTGCATTTCTTGGTGAAAACGGGTACATGTTGGGGGGTGTTTTTTTACAATGCTTTTTCTTCAGCAATATCAGCCAGGCTCAAATCTACTGCTATCTCACACAGTCCAGTGATGCAACAGTGGTTAGTATGACATTATTTTCCCTCTTAGATTTTCTTCCCTTAATAGTTTTTTTTAGCAGGTATACAATATAGATCTGAAGTTTTTATAGAAAAATATAGTGACCATTTTTATGCCAATTTTACTAATAAAAGACTGTTTAGGATTCCATTTTTTTCGGTCCAAATGTTTCTGAAATTTCTCCTGATATTCTCCCATTAATACTACATTTATCAGGTGTACAATATACATCTGCAGTTTTTTAAAACTAAATGTTTACACCAATTTTACTCAAAAACGACAGTGATTAGTATGTCATTTATTTCGGTTCCGAATTTTTCGCAATATTTCCTGATATTCTCCCATTAATAGTACATTTAGCAGATATACAATATAGAGCTGCAGTTATTTTTGAAAAATAAAGTGAAAAAGTTTAGGCCAATTTTAATAAAAAACGACAGTGGTTAGTATGCCATTTTTTTCCATCCCAAATTTTTTCGCAATATTTTCTGATATTCTACTAATAGTACATTTAGCAGGTGTACAATATAGATATGCAGTTTTTTTTTTAAACAGTAAATTTTTAAGCCAAATTTACTCTAAAATTATAGTAGATAGTATGCAATTTTTTTGCCAATTTTACTAAAAAAACGACAGTTTGTATGGCATTTTTTTCAGTCCAAATTTTTCTTACATTTCTCCTGATATTCTCCCATTAATATTAGTTAGGTGTACAATATAGATCTGCAGTTTTTTTTACAATATTTTCATGCCAATTTTGCGGAAAAATTACAGTGGTTAGTATGCCATTTTTTTGGTCCCAAATTTTTCTCAATATTTCCTAATATTCTCCCATTAATAGTACATTTAGCAGATATACAATATAGATCTGCAGTTTTTATTGAAAAATAGTGAACATTTTTAGGCCAATTTTACTCAAAAAAGATGGTGATTCGTTTGCCATTTTTTTAGTCCAAAAATTTTCGCAATTTCTCCTGATATTCACCAACACACCTACTTTTATCACCCAGGAATGTCTGTCCTTAACGCTCATGACGTCACTCCACATCGACGAGCCCTCCTCATTAATATTCATGAGTAGGTGCCGTCCTCCAAATGGACACCCATACCCCCACCCCTAATTAACAATCATGAGCGGGTGAAGTCAACAATATGGAGCACTCCCGCCCCTCACTAATTATGCGCAAGTGACATCACTGCACATCGAACAGTCCCCCTTATTAATAATAATGAACAGGTGATGGGTGATATTTTCCCATTAATAGTACATTTATCAGATATATAATATAGATCTGCAGTTTTTACTGAGATATAGAGTGAAAAAGTTAAGGCAAATTTTACTCAAAAACGACAGTGGTAAGTATGCCATTGTTTTCAGTCCCACATTTTTCACAATATTTCCTGATATTCTATTAATAGTACATATAGCAGGTGTACAATATAGATCTGCAGTTTTTTTTAAAACAGTCACAATTTTTAAGCCAAATTTACTCTAAAATGATAGTAGATGGCATGCAATTTTTACACCAATTTTACTCAAAAACGACTGGTTAGTTCGCATGCCATTTTTTTCGGTCCCAATTTTTCTGAAATTTCTCCTGATATTCTCCCATTAATAGTACAGTTAGCAGGTGTACAATATAGATCTGCAGTTTTTATTTTTAAAACAACATTTTTACTCCAATTTTACTCAAAAACGACAGTGATTAGTATGTCATTTATTTCGGTTCCGAATTTTTCGCAATATTTCTTGATATTCTCCCATTAATAGTACATTTAGCAGATATACAATATAGAGCTGCAGTTATTTTTGAAAAATAAAGTCAAAAATTTTAGGCCAATTTTAATAAAAAAACGACAGTGGTAGTATGCCATTTTTTTCGGTCCAATTTTTTTTCACAATTTCTCCTGATATTCGCCAACACACCTACTATAATCACCCAGGAATGTCTGTCCTTGACGCTCATGACGTCACTCCACATCGACGAGCCCCCCTCATTAATATTCATGAGCAGGTGCCGTCCTCCAAATGGACACCCCCGACCCCTCATTAATAATCATGAGCGGGTGACGTCAACAATATGGAGCACTCCCCCCCCCCCCCCCGTCACTAATTATCATGCGCAAGTGACGTCACTGTACATCGAACAGCCCCCCTTATTAATAATAATGAACAGGTGATGGGTGATATTTTCCCATTAATAGTAAATTTATCAGATATATAATATAGATCTGCAGTTTTTATTGAGATATAGAGTGAAAAAGTTAAGGCAAATTTGACTCAAAAACGACAGTGGTAAGTATGCCATTTTTTTCGGTCCCAAATTTTTCACAATATTTCCTGATATTTTATTAATAGTACATATAGCAGGTGTACGATATAGATCTGCAGTTTTTTTTAAACAGTCACAATTTTTAAGCCAAATTTACTCTAAAATTATAGTAGATAGTATGCAATTTTTACGCCAATTTTACTAAAAAACGACATTAATTTGTACGGCATTTTTTTCGGTCCAAATTTTTCTTACATTTCTCCTGATGTTCTCCCATTAATATTAGTTAGGTGTACAATATAGATCTGCAGTTTTTTTAAACAATATTTTTATGCCAATTTTGCTGAAAAATAACAGTGGTTAGGATGCCATTTTTTTGGTCCCAAAATTTTCACACTATTTCCTAATATTCTCCCATTAATAGTACATTTAGCAGATATACAATATAGAGCTGCAGTTATTTTTGAAAAATAAAGTCAAAAAGTTTAGGCCAATTTTAATAAAAAACGACAGTGGTTAGTATGCCATTTTTTTCGGTCCAATTTTTTTTCACAATTTCTCCTGATATTCGCCAACACACCTACTATAATCACCCAGGAATGTCTGTCCTTAACGCTCATGACGTCACTCCACATCGACGAGCCCTCCTCATTAATATTCATGAGTAGGTGCCGTCCTCCAAATGGACACCCCCGACCCCTCATTAATAATCATGAGTGGGTGACGTCAACAATATGGAGCACTCCCCCCCTCACAAATTATCATGCGCAAGTGACGTCACTGTACATCGAACAGCCCCCCTTATTAATAATAATGAACAGGTGATGGGTGATATTTTCCCATTAATAGTACATTTATCAGATATATAATATAGATCTGCAGTTTTTATTGAGATATAGAGTGAAAAAGTTAAGGCAAATTTTACTCAAAAATGACAGTGGTTAGTATGCCATTTTTTTTGGTCCCAAATTTTTTGCAATATTTCCTAATATTCTCCCATTAATAGTAAATTTAGCAGATATACAATATAGATCTGCAGTTTAAATTGAAAAATAAAGTGAAAATTTGTAGGCCATATTTACAAAAAAAAAAGACTGGTTAGTATGC